AAAAAAAAAAAAGTAACATGCCAATTTCTGGTACATAGTAGGTACTCAATAAATATTTACATAAAGAATGAATGAACAAATAAATAAGCATGCTTTTCCTTTAGTACTAGGATTAAACACAATGTATGTCTTGTATAGCCCAGGTATTTGATGTAGGCCCCCTTTTAAAAAAAATAACATTACCCCAGCAGAAATGATAACCCATTTTGCTCAGTAGCTGTGAGTGGGGAAGACAGCCTTAGTTCGAGTTAGTTACAGAAATGCTTTCTCTATCTACCTAACCAAAACCAAACCAAATCAAATCCTTAATGTGATAAGTTCTCAGAACTCAAAGACCATGTGACATTTATATATCATTCTCCTAATGAGCAAAGAGGGGGAAAGAAGCATAGTTCCCCAACATTAATTACGTTTTAGACAAAGAAGAAAGTTAATTTCAGGGAGCTAGAATATGGTGATTTACTAACTACAAACCACTTTGCTGTACATTATTTCAGCTGACTTCACAATGACCTTGTGCGTGATAGGACATCCTGCTTTAGACATAAGGAGACAGGTTCACCAGCTCTCTGTGATCAGCCCAAGTCTCCTGGGCAGTAATGGAGACAGAGCTGGGGCTCTGGCCAGCATGTTTGACCCCAAGTCCAGCAGGACTGGTTTTCTCCTCAGCTAGGAGGATGACAGTGGGAAGGTCGTCCCTCTGCGTGTGCATAGACAGCATCAGGGTGTGCTTTCCTTGTGGTACTGGCTGTACACTTTGCCATGGATTTTTCCTGGGTCTTCCTTGTCATGTCATTTTGGTCCCTTTCCGTGGGTTTGTGGTGAGGGAGTAGTCAAGGCAGGGTGGGAGGAGGAAAACTGGGAGGCACCAAGGGAGATATTTTTATCTCTCTACCAAATGGTGAGTGTGCAGCCAGAGTAAGTCAGAGAAAGCCCTGTTCTGCAAGCATGAGAGCTGCATCGGCTCTGCCAGACCCCTTGAGTACAAGAGATGATCTGAAAGAGTTAATTATTCCCTTTCGGACGGTTGACTTGTTCCAGAGAATGGTGGACAACCTGGAGGGCAGTTTGATGACCCTGAGGCCGACTGGGTTTGACTGTCAGAGCTCTGTGGACAGTGTCTTTGTGTGATGGGGAAGCCTTTGCTGAAGTTTTTGTCCTCTTCAGCCTTTTGGGACATCTGGTAGCCAATCAAAGAGGAATTGTTCATGAAATTGGTCATTTTTTCCGTTGCTCAGTGTGACTAGTAAAACATTTTTGTAAGACCAAGACAGAACATCACAGAGCTTCAGAGCACAGAGACCTACACTAGCCAAGCAAAGTCTACTTTCTGGTTGGTCCAAAAAGTGCATTCTTGACCTCAACCAAGCATTGTGGGCTGTGAGCAGCAGAGTTTGCTGTGGGAACCTCCGAAGTCCTCTGGTATTCCAATCACAGCCAGTTCTCAGGTTTTGAAACACTTGATTCCGTCCAACACAACTCCTTGCCTTGGGTCTGTGAGTTTCGTTTCCTGCTGTGTTACAGCAGCTAAAGGGAAACGAACGTAGCCAAAGGTTCTGACACTGCGCTTGCAAGTGAGAGGGAGTGAGTAGCCTAGGTGTCCAGGTTTGCAGTAACCAGTGTACACTCATCATCAGAGCGTGGTACCAACTCAGCATCTCCACTTCCAAAGCACCCTCATGCCCGTCATCTCGTTATTTTGTCCTCATGCCATTCTTGTGGTACATTGGGGATGAGGGAACGGAGGGGTAGAGGTGAATTGCCCCATCTCAGGTACCTCTGCAAATCAGTGGAAAGCTGGGCTGCTGTTAGTACCTTGTGGATTGCCGGCTGCCTGAATGAGGGAGTGAGTGGCGACACGGTGGAAGTGCCCTTGAACCCTGCCTGCCTTCACCAGGCTGCAGCGAGGGGTGGTGATTAACCAGACTGGATCCACACGTGAAGGAGAGGTCACCCATTGCTGGTGGGTGTTGGTTTCATTTGATTTTCTCCTTCATCATGATCATATTATGGTTTTCATGTGCACGTCTTTCCGAACTAGTTTTTTTGATTTCTTCCGTTTCTGTGATAAAGCAACAAACCATAGGCCTTTCCCAGGTCC